TTACTTAATTACCTTGACTATGAACCTAGAATTAATGTACCAAACTCATGTTATAGTTTTGTTCTTTTGTGGACTTTTATTTTCCAAAAGTTGTTTACTATAGTGGACTCTATGATTACCATCATGCATATTTTAAACTTGAAATTATGAGGACTCTGAGCCTATAGTTTCTTAATAATTAAGATTGACTGAACCTGGCAAACTTGAAAATTGCTCTTTAGTGACTGGCTTTACTCGTTGCGAATCAAGTTCATGATACGTATTATTTGTTTTTGGTCTATTTGGCCTTCCAAAACATGTCTACTGTATGAACTTGAGTCACGATTTATAGAACTTTTTCTGTTTATTTCCCATTCTGGTGTCATGTTTTGTGTAAATTTTAATGTGTTTATTATCTTCAGAAACTTGTCAACCTAAGAACTTGTCAGTTTTGCCTCATACCGCCGTCTATCAAAACATCACAATTTCAGAAGTCTTATAGACGTACAAGTATAATGACATGCATATTTATGATCGATCATAAGTCTATTTATTTTTTTTAAACTTTTGTGCCTAATCAAATATTTTTTCTTGAAAAGTTAATATATTGTTTGAACAAGATATTTGAAGTCCTTGTAGTACTATTTTCTCTTCTTCCCATACAATATGTTTTTGGGAAGAATTAAAACATAAAACAAAAACTAAAATCATGTAAAGCAAGTAATTAAAGGAGTTAAACTATGATTTTAGACTAGAGTATCGTTCTGAACATGCGATTTCAAATTATGATTCAAATTTTGATAATTTTTACAAATAACAGAATTTTCATATCTATAAATAAAAATACGAAATTTAAATTATACGGCTAAATAAAATTTCAAAGACGATTATATCTTTGATCCTTTATTAACTATTATTTTTATTTATTCTCATTGGAGATTGAGCCTCTAAAGGGTGGAAGCTCAAAAGCCAAAGGTCAAGAAAAGAATAGAAAGAAAGCAACTTATGATAGCACAATGGGAGCTAGCTCCCAACATATTCATTTAGTTATTATCATGTCTGTTTGACTCTAAATTAAATATATTATTTACATACAAAGAAAAGATGTGCTAGAATGATTTTAAAAAAGATCACAATTCGACTTCGAATTTTAGTCATGTCTTAGATTTGAGTTCTGAATAGAAATATTTTGAAAGACGTATTATCTTATTTAATGAACTTACTTGATGTAAATAGATTATATTGATTTGATTGTTATGTCTATCGATTTTAAACAGTGTACCATTAAAGGTTATGATAAATGATTGAACAAGAGGTAAGATATTGATTTGGTTGTCATGTCTATCGATTTTAAACAGTGTACCATTAAAGGTTATGATAGATAATTGAACAAGAGGTACGATTTTTAATTTTGAAAATGAAAAATATTGCGATAGAAAATATATTATCCTCATTTATTATAATTTTTTCAGTGTCAAAAGACTTTGTATATCAAATTGTCAATTAAAAATATGCATGTTTTACATTATAAACTATGTAAATTTTAGTAACAAGTCAGAATATTTAAATATCCAATCTCAAATATAATAAATTATAATAATTTAAAATTTTAAATTCATAATATTCAAATATTATGTTAGCTACGAGTAATTTAACGAAGAAAATAATGATGGTCAGAGAGATTCTTCGAAGGCTACAAATGTTAGGCATGCAGTGCAACTTTTGGATGTTTCTATTTCTTTTTCTTCTTTTCTTCTCTATTTTTTCTTTTTATTTATTGCTTATCACACTTTAATCAATAAATATTTTATTTTATTTTTATAAAAGAAAAGGTTCGAAGGTATATATGACTATTCCACCATAGTATAAAGTGTTTTGAAAATTATTTTTAAAAAAACAATTACTTTAACCCTTTTTCTCCTTTATAAATTACTTGTGTAATTTATATATAGTATAAAGAAGTCAAGAATGTGAGAATTGGCAGATATTTTAGATTAGTCAAAAAAATTTACAATGTACTTTTTATGAGTAGAAAATATTTTTTTTCAATAAACTTTTAATGTTTATATCTAATTAAATAAAATAATTATTAAAAGAAATTGAATTTTCTAATACATAAACATAGAAAAATCTTAATAGCTCATTAATTAATTACTGAACTTTCATTTCAATAAGGGTTCGATTACCCCACTTATAATCCTCTCCTTTCTCCTTTTTCCTTTCCATTTTCTACCTCCATTTTTCTTAAATGAAAAAAATAATAATATAAAAAATAAAAACACACACATTATAACACATAAATAAAGTAAATATTTTTTTTAAAAAAAACATAAATATCTCAATTGTGATATATAAAAAAAATAAAGGAAAAATTATGTGTAAAGACAAACATATACTAGTTAATTAGCTAATATAGATATAGTTTGAATTAATTACAGCTCACAACTTATATTTAGGCTTAGTTACTCATTTGTCCTCTTTTAGACATATACATATACAAATACAATTAGTCTTTCTACACTCTCTGACATTTCTCGCTTGCCTCTCGCCCAATATCACTCGTCTCTCTCCTGCCACTCCTCCCTCTCCCAATATCTCGCCAGATATATAAATACATATGTATATCGGTTATATATATATATATACAATTTTCTGTCGAATATACATATATAGTTGCCTCTCCTCACTCTCTGCCCTCGCTCGCCTCTCTCCTCCCTCTCCCAATATCTCGTCAGATTTACAAATACATATGTATATCAATTATATTTATATACAATTATCTGTTGGATATACATATATAATTGCCTCTCCCCACTCTCAGGCCTCACTCGCCTCTTTCCTTCTCTCCAGTATCTCACCAGATATACAAATACATATGTATATCAGTTAGATATATACAATTATCTATCGGATATACATATATAGTTCATCTCTCCCCACTCTCTGCCCTCGCTCGCCTCTCTCCTCCCTCCCTCAATCTCGCTCGTTAGATATACAAACAAACAAACAAACAAACACACACACACACACACACACATATATATACAATTATTTGACAGGTATACATATACAATTTGACAAATTTACATATACAACTCGTCTCTTCCTCTCTCTACCCTCTCTCGCTAGCCTCTCTCCTCCCTCTTCCAGTCTCTCTCGTCACTCTCCTCCATATAACATGTAGATACGAATCATAATTAACAAACTGTAGCTACGAATCGTAATTAAACTATTTTGAGTGGCCATATGTGAAAATTCCCAAATAAATATTACTCTCTTCGATTCTAAATACTTATCGTCCTTATTAAAAATATATATAATTTATAATAAGTAATGCGTATACTCATTTTTTATTATTGCTTTTCAATTTTTCACCAATATTCATGCAAATGGTCTCAAACTAACTAAACTTAGAGACACTTATGGTCTTCCACATAACATTACAAGTTGTCTCAAACTCTTATAAAACATTAAATTCTCGATAAAATGTCCTAAAGCTTGACAAGAATTTAGGAATGCATTTCACAAGATTGAGGATGCATTTAACTTCAGTTAGTCAAGTAGAAATGTGTTCTTTTAATATTGTCAATAGTTTGAAAATGAAACTCATAAATCAAATCAAACTTAAGAATAGGAGAAATAATCTCATGAACCTCTATACTTGTATGCATTTGTATTATGAACTGTTCTACTTAACCATTTGTCAATTGGACCCTTCAACTCATTAAAACAAAATATTTCAAACCCTTCTAACCATTGACCATACTTATGTGACATTAAAATAAATGAGTTGGCAAGAGAGTGTAACACACACCCAAAGGCAAGTGAAGAACATATTTAATTTTAAAAAATATAAAATTATAATTTTTTAAAAAAATTTCTTCTTCCCCTCACCTCATCTTTTTCATTCATCCCCCACCCCCACCCTTATCACTGCCCCAACCTTCCTTATCAGCTAACCTGCTATTTCAATTCCCCTTTCAACCATCCCTCACCCCAAATCTGTCCTAACCCCCCTTTTTAGCCATCCCCAACTCCATATCCGCACCAACCCCTCTTTCGAGCTTCAACTATCCACCACTCCATCTTTGCCTCAACTCTTCTTTTCAGTCACCCTCACCCCATTAGTAGATTCATATTTTATTTTTTAAAAAAATCATTTTGATTTCCCAAATACCACCATTAAAGAGTAAAATTTCAACTACAAAAGCCTTACAAAGTAAGGAAAATAAAAGAAAACAAAGAAAGATTAATTTAGATCTAATTTAAAATTCAAGATTTTCTTTTCAAGACTCTCATTCTCAATGTCACTTTTTTTTGGTAGAAGACAAGTTTAAATGGAAGAAACCTTTTCTTTTTGTATGAAGACAAGCTTAATGGAATAAAAAGAGGCTATGATCGGAAAACACCTCTTTTGACGGAGGAATAGGGTGGTCGGTGGCGGCATTGATGGAGGAGAAAGATAAAATCTATGATCGAAATTTCATGTTGCCGGCGGGATATACAAAAGAATATGTGTTTTGTCCATAAGAAAAAAGAAAAAAAGAAAATGAATAGGGGCAGGTGGTGATTTTTATTTTCTGGGTGAAGGGTAGAGGGTAGGGAGGAAGAAGATTTAAGTACGATTTACGAAAATGAGTATAGAGAGAGAAAAAGAATTGTACCTTTTTAAAAAATATTATTTATTTTAAATATTTAATTTCTAATGTGTCATTAAAAAATAATAATAATACTGACGTGTCATTAAAAAATAATGTGAAATTTTATGTATAAATTGAGTGTAATACACGTACACACAAATGATGAGAAAGGGATTTCAAATATTGTGTTTTATTTAATTTAGGGATCCAGATGACAAAAGAGTAAGTAAAAGGGTTAAAAAAAATTAATTCAAGCACGAAACAAAGATCTACCAGACCATTTCGTCTTAAGAATACTTTCAATACATTTTTCTCATTTAAAAACATCCCGTATTAGCAGGATTCGAAGAGGGCCCACATAGTGCCATAAAATGCCCTCACAAGTCCCATGATATAAACACAAACATTTTCCCTACTATATCTCACTCCGCCCTCTTCCCTAACTCCACAAAAAACACAGAAAAAAATGGCTGAAATGAGCCTATTCATCTACCATTAGCTTCTTCTTCAACCAAAAAAAGGAAAAAAAATGAAGTAAATGAAAACCCCAAACATCCCTCTTCTTCACAGAAGAAGCAGAAGAAGATGGCATTTGTAATAGACTCTTTGTATTGTAAAGATGAGACCTTTCAAGTGTTTGAAGTAAAACCCAAATCAGTCACTTTGTTAAATCAAGATTTGATATGGGAAAAAGAGGAATTAGAGTCTTTGTTGTCTAAAGAAGAAGAAAATCAAATGTATAATGTTGTAATAAACAACCCATTTTTGTCTGTATTTAGAAGTGAAGCAATTGAATGGATTCTTGAAGCTGTTGATTATCATAATTTCTCTGCTCAAACTGCAATTCTTGCTGTAAACTACCTTGATAGGTTTCTTTTTAGCTTACAGTCACAAAATCATGATGATGAGAAGCAGCCATGGATGAACCAACTTGCTGCTGTGACTTGTCTTTCTTTAGCTGCAAAAATTGAAGAGACCCAAGTGCCTTTACTTCTAGATCTCCAAGTATGTGCTTATCAAAATCTTCTCTTTTTTATCATTTGATATCTGGTAGTGGTTAGGTTTGCGTACACCGAAATATGTTATTGTTATTATTGTTGATGATGTTTGTTACTTGCTTTAGCTTGTGGGTCTGAATAATTTAGATTCGTGTCGGGTAAAATCGTTTAAAAGTGAAATGACTTGGTGTTTGGGTGATTGCTTTGTGGGTCTAGTCGGATTAATTCAGATTCGTGAGGTCTAAAATCATCAAAAAGTGAAATGTTTGATGCTTGCTTTGTGTGTCCTTTCTGTGTCTGGTTCGACTAATTAAGATTCGTGAGGTCTAAAATCATTAAGAAGTGAAATGACTTGGTGTTTGGTGCTCGCTTTGTGGGTCTAGTTCGACTAATTTAGATTCGCGAGGCCTAACAATCGTTAAAAAGTGAAATCACTTGGCTGTATGGTGATCACTTTGTGAGTCTCACTAATTTGGATTAGCGTGTAAGACCATTTAAAAGGGAAATGCTCCTTCATTCCTAGGACCCCAACTCGAGTTCAATGAATAAGAGCGGATGGATCTTATCCATCTTACCAGAACCCTCGATGATTTTATTTTTGTGACAATTTCAATGTTGGGGCTATTAACTTGGGATGTTAGGTGGAGCGGACTTATCCATCCCACCAGAACGCTCGATGGTCTTAGAAAGATCTTAACTTTACTAACAATTTCAATGTTGGGGTTATTGATTTGGGTGTTTTCTTGGTTTTTTTGTTTAGGTGGAGGAATCAAGATACTTGTTTGAGCCAAAAACAATTCAGAGAATGGAGATATTGCTACTTTCTACACTAAAGTGGAAGATGAATCCAGTAACCCCATTTTCATTTCTTGATTATTTCTCAAGAAGGCTTGGATTAAATGACCACATTTGCTTTGAACTTCTAAGGAGATGTGAGAAGGTGCTTTTGTCCACGATTACCGGTAATTATCAATCGGAATTTATGAATAGCTCTTGATAAAGCTAAGATTAATTTGCTAACTGGTTAATTTTTTATAACTAGCAGATTGTAGATTTATGTGTTATCTTCCTTCTGCTATGGCTGCTGCTACAATGTTACATGTTATTGATAAGCTAGAGCCTTGCATTGGACAAGAATATCAAGAACAACTTTTCGGCATTCTTGGAGTAGTTAAGGTTAGTATATTTATCACTTCCATGTCTCAACTTTAGTTAAATCTTTCCTGAATTTGTTGTACTAGCTTGTAGTACGCCATTTGAGGGTCAAACAGAAGCAATCTCTCTACCTTTCAAGGTAGGGGTAAGGTTTGTGTACACGTTACCACTCCCAGACACTACTTGTGGAATTACACTGACTATGTCGTTGATGTTGTTAGTATTGGATTACATTAGATATATTTGTTGTTGTACTAGTATTGTAGTAGTGGATCATATCCAATAATGAGTTATCAGTTTGGTAGAACTCCGTGCTCGAGGATCAATGTGAAAACGAACCCCCTTGTGTTGGTATCTATGCTTCGGTTTGTGTTTTTGAGTCATTGGATAAGTCAACATTACCATTTGAACTTTGTTGGCATGGTTTGGGTTGAGAGCCGAGGGGCTCGGGTGAGAGTTTCTGCTGAAACTCAATTGAAATCTCAAAACTTTCCTAGTGTCAGGCGACTCATTGCTACTGCAATCTTAATGATGCAATCGCGGTGCATTTATAAATGAAGTTAGTCGTACATTTCAGAACCCATGACGTTTAAATTCTGTTCTGATGGGAATCGAATCGTGTGAAACAGGACAATGTGACAGATTGTTGTAAGCTAGTTCAGGAGGTGGCTTCCAACGTTGATTTCAACTCAAACAAACGCAAATTTGGTGCATTGCCAGGAAGTCCCATGGGAGTTATGGATGTCTCATTCAGCTCAGATAGCTCCAATGACTCGTGGGCGGTGGCTGCATCCGTTTTTTCTTCTCCCGAGCCATCATCAAAGAGGACTAGACCACACGAGAAGGAAAAATGATGTTGCATCTTGCTCGAGATGATTAAGAGAGCTTTTTTCACTTACATGGCGAGACTCGACTCTCGAGTAGACAATGCAGCTTCCAGTAACCCTTTAAAATCAATCAATGGATTCTCAAAATTTGTCTATGAATTAGTTGCTGACATTTTATTAGGAGGAAATCAAAATGTTTATGAACAGAGTTGAAAATAATTTTATGTCATATTCTTCTTTGTACTACTTCATTATCTAGAGGCATTTTATGTGGCATTTTCAATTTCAAAATTCAGAAATTCAAATAATTCGATTTTTACCGTAAGTTTTTCATAGATCTTTTAAATATTTTGAATTATCAATTACTGTGACTTATAGTACTTTTTATGTAGTTTACAAATATATAAATGTCATTTCAAAAATATTGAAAATATCATATACAAATTTTCGATCAAACATAAATTGTTGGACTCTTGAGAAATGAAAAGTGTCGTATAAAGTAGTAGCGGAATCAAAAATTTTATTTTATGAATCTCTTTCAAACCTGTTTTGAAAAAGATTTTTTTGAGTTGAGCGTATATCTAGAATAATTTACCTACTTCACACAAAGGTAGTGTTAATTTTTACGTATACTCTATTCTCTTCTAACTCCACTTATGCGGTTAAATTGAAACTGATTATATTGTTATTATTGAATTTTAAATCACTAACTATTTTTACTTTACAATATCAAAATAATCTTTTAACACAAAAATAAAATTTTAATAAAAATTATTGAATTCTACTTCAAGGCAAGCTCTGCATTGTGAAGTTAGGGTGCCGTAAGAGGTTTATCTGAACCTTCGTAGAAATTAGAATTAATTATATATATAGAGTAAATATTGAATCTCTTTAGCTATAATCTAAATCTATTTTATCCATATTTTGAATGATTTAATGAAAATTTTGATCTCACCATTGATAATCGACCACTTATTTACATAGGAGTTGAAATTGCAAGAGTTTAAGGGCATTTTTCTACCAATAGGTGGAAGGAGAAACAAATTCAATCCAATAGACGTAACGAGATTTTTTTTTATAAATTATTTCTAATACCGATAGTTTATTATCTAATGAATCTTTTCATTCTATTACTATATCAGAAAAAATTATTCGTATTTATCAAATTTGTTCTTATCTAATAAATATTTTGGTCCTTTTTCGAAATAAGAAGAGAAAGTAAAGGGTTTAAAAGCAATGACACAAAAGCAAGAAGGTTTAAAGGGATTAAAAGTGAGTTTATAGAAAGATTAAAAAGACTATTTGGATGCAATTAGATTCAATATAAAAATATTTAGAGATAAAAAGGGACAAAAGGTGAAATGTGGGGAGTTATTTTGGAAATATGGGGGACAGTATTTGTCTTTTTTTATTTTTCTATGTTGTGTCATTGTTGGTACTTTTGTTCACTGTTTTTTGGTAGTTAGAATATAATGGAATTCAATTTTTTCAACCACTTAAAGAAAAAAAATAAATGAAGAAAAGACAATTCTAAGATATGGATAAGTAGTATAATTAAGAGAAGTGGCCATCTTTAGAGGGTTATTTTGGTCAATAAATACTTAGTTTTACTTTATATTAATATCAAATTAAATAATTTTCTCGGTTCAGTTTCACTTGTTATCCATTGTATTATATTCTACATCTTTGTCTAGATAGTCGTTACTTGTACTATTATCCATTATTTGTATTATATTATATTATTAATTTGAACACAATGCATTATATTTTTACTTAAATTGCTCTTTCAAAGTCGTAAGTATAATATTATTATTAGTGGTTCAAGTGGTGTAGCAAATGCGAATGCAAATTTAGGTTTCGCTGAGGTATTTTATTGTAATTATCGTTAAACTTATCATTACGTAACAACAGAAAGACCTATTCTGTGTAACGATCGATTTGATGAGATCGCATCGTTATCTTAATTTTTTCATCATCAAGTATCCTTTAACATAGTATATAACTCTATCCTATATTCACTTTTGTTGTAGATTTATTCTTTAAATTGTTTATGTATAATATTATATAACGATAAAATTAATATAATCTATCTAAATATTATATTCATTAAAATAACGTAGTACGATTAAAAATACCACCAAATAATATAACCATAATACCTATTGCCGCAAGCTAGATGTAGTAGACTTTGATAGTTGCTTAATAAATACTAATTTATTATTCTTCATAATTCTTTTTACACATGTGTCTTAAATTATCCTATTATGATTCTTAAAAATAATTATTTCAAATTATTTCATATTCATCTATTAATTTTTCTAAAAGAAACTACACACATTTTAATAGTTTAAATATTAAATTATAAAAAAAATTACAGCGGGTATTGTACTTGAGAAAATAATAAAATGTTTTTTTTTCAAAAAAATAAAATAATGAAATGGTAATATGTATGGTAGGTAGACTGATTAATATACTTGAATAATATTTTCTCGATTCACTTTTAATTATCATGTTGTGCTTATTATAAAATAAAATTATATTATATTAATTTGATATGTTAAATTAAAAAAACTAGATATTAAAAACTACATAAAGTGTACTAGAAATTTCATTTTATTTTTTTCATATTAAAATGATGACATCGTAAAATATTAATTAAAATTATTATCATTTAACTTAAAAAAAAAAAAGACAATGGACAAAAATGGTAATAAAATAGTTTATCTATTTTTAGCTCCTAGCATTTATAGAGAATAAATTATTGTGCAACTATGGTAAATGATAATGAAATGGTTATCTATTTTTAGTTCCTTAAATTTATAGAGAATAAATTATTGTCCCACACATAACACAAAAGAATATAATTATATGAGCAAATGTAGACCAGCTTTTTGAAAATAATTCCTACTCTCTCCTACTACTGCTTCCTATTTTTTAATCGAATGATCATGCGATATCATATTATTATAAAATTATGAGATATAATTAATATTTAAATATGTAATTTAGCGGTAACTTTATATTATGAGATTTCATATTCTTCAAAAAAATATCATATGAGAATTCTGTATTATGATTTGGGACTTTTTAAATACAAAATTGATTAACAGGTTTATATTTTGTTAGAACAATCCTATATTTATATTTATCAATCATTTATTTCGTATGTTAATTAAATTTATAATCATATTATTACAATTTAAAATGTATTACTCTCACCAATAGAAAATTTATTATTACTTTAAATCAATTCTTACTTTATCATTTATATTCATCAAATTCATTATTTTCTTGTCAAATTTATTTATCAACTAAATTTATTACTACTACTTTAATGTTAAATTAAAAAAAATTAATTTTCATCTATATTGAGTGAAGAAAACTGACCAAAATTGCTTTGTAATAATTTACTATGCGATTTTATAAATTTTTGTGTATTTGGTAAGATTTGATAAATATAATTGAGACTATTTTAATTTTTACAATTTATGAGATTCTTATGTTTATGACACGAGAGAGTTGCTCGGATGATAAGCACCCCTCACTTTCAACCGGGAGTTCGCGACTTCGAGTCACCAAGGGAGAAATATGGGTGGGAGCTCCTAGAGGAGGGTGAAAAAAACGAATCATAAGTTTAGGAAAAATGCACAAGTACCCCCCTTCTCCACAATTTATGTCCGAAATTCGAGAGACACACTTATACTTTACTAAAGTTCTATTATCAAGATTTCTGGCATAGATTGGGGGTACTATGCATTTTCCTTAACGTTTTATGAGTTAATATACACCATAAAAACTCTATATCGCATGTCCACACAAAACTTCAACTCTATTTCATAAGTTCATATCATGATTTCATATTAAATAATCAAACAAACTTTAAAACGATCCGAAATTATTATACAAAATTTCTTATAGAAAAGTCAGTTTCAACTGTGCAATGACTCATTTTGAATTCAAGGCTGCAAAAATATTTATTGAAAAGGGTCCATTTTCGATGTATATAGTATTTGATTGGAACTACACTTGTGAAAAAAAAAAACAGGTCATTTCATCTATTTTATCTACTTAAACTCTTAATAGCGTGAGATTTTTTAAGGAAAATCTGTATATATAGTTTTGATTCAAAATGAATAATATTATATTATACTAAGATTATCTTTAAATTATTTTATGTAATGATCGATATCAGAATCAATAATTGAGCAAAACGAGTATGAAAATGACAAAGATATATAATTAAATGTTAGATGACTTAATTTATGACTAATTTAAATTACATTTACCCATAGTTTTGGAGACTTACCTAAAAACAATAATATAAAATAGTTAAGATGATTTTGGTTCCTAACAAAAAGGGTCAACATGCCTCATTTGTTAGCCATCGAAAGTATATATACATCATTTTTAAACAATAGATATATATATTCTAAATAAAATTGGTGCGGGTATCATATCTTTAGGGATTCATTCGAATTTTCTTCGATAAAAAAATATATTATTTTTATATGATTAAAATAACTTTTTAGGTATATATAATAGATTTCGAACCCCTTTCGATTATTTTTTGTATTTATTTCTCTAGATTTTGAACCCCTTATCGAAAATTCTGACTACCCTTATCGAAAATTCTGACTCTGCCTAGAGGCAATAGATAAAAGATTTGATACCATATCTTGAGAATCCAATTGGGGTTCTTATTATGCAAATGCAATTACTCACTCTCTGCAGGCCTTGAAAAGTCTCTTTCTAAGGAAATTGCCAAATAAAACATTCAATCTTATTGCAGAACATTTTTTTTTGCTATATATGTAATATATAATATGTTGTATATTATATATATATATATATATATATATATATTATTAATGGTTCTGTTTTTATTTTTCTGAATTCATTGTGTTTTTTAGTGACATATCTACTGAGATTAGTTCCATTATTTCTGGCAAAGTTTTATGGGCCAGGCAGTACTTATGGTCCAATTTGAAATGGTCCAGTATATTTGGATCTTGTATATGACTAGGGATTTATGGTGGGTCCTGAGTCAAACAATTATGGGAAAGGAATAAGGGAACAATGTAAAATCTCGCTAGTTTAGGTCATAATTATGTTCGGACAAAGTGGTTTGACGATACATTATCTTTTATATCAGTTTTTGTTCGTCATATACATGTATATGCCGGGCTCATATACAGTGAACTATAAATGTCGGGCTCAAAATACTTGTCATTTATAAGTTCAAAACAAAGTTTTCTTTTTCTTTATTTACCCTTTGTAGGAATTTCTTTACGAGACTATAAATATTATATCTTAAGACGGGATCAGTTCCGTCTCGAGCGGAAAAGTAGAAATTTAAATTGATAGATGGTCAGGGATAAAAGTCAAAATATGTCGTGGAGAAGAGCGTACTTATGAGAAAAAATATAATCAAATGCCCCCTCACAATTCATATTTCGTTAAGGAACATGAAAATAAAAAATACGATAAATATTTTGAGATAGATAAGAGTACTATAGTAGTATGATACAATTCACGTTTTGGATTGGGTGATGTTATTGGGCCTCCAAGATGAAGTGGGCTGCGTGAGATATTGGGCCATGAGAAGTGGCATGTGGGTGTAATTGTGTAGAATTGATCAATAAAGTTGTTTTAGTTTAATTCTTGTAACTTGTAACAATATTAATGGGCTAAAATATTGTACCAATTTGGGAAATTTATATGAACACCACTAGTTTAGAAGCTAATAACTTAAATACTTTTAGTTTGCAATATTTTGAAATCTGACCAAATGTTGGTGCTTCCAAATACGTCCAATATATGTATCTCAGGAAAAAAAAAGAGTTCAAATTAGGTGTAATTTGTTCAGATACACTGTATCTAAGTGGATTTGATGAATCTGAGATATAGCAAATCTCTCTTGTAAACCTTCCATCTTGTTTGAAACTCTCCTATATACTTGGTATATGAGATGCATACGAATCACACCAGATACATATAGATACATATATCTAGTGTGATTCACGTGTATCTTGGATACATAACAAATCTCGCTCGCCCCTTTCTTTATCTCGCTCATATCTCTTCCTATTTAGTATATTGATAGCAAAAATACATGTATCTTTTCCAACTATATGGTAGGGAACTCTTAAGTAGTGGTAAAATAATATTTTAAAAGTATATATATGATGATAGTATATATGGTGATGGAGTATGTCTAATTATGTAGGTTGTCCTACAAATTTCATGGTTTGAATACTGTTGTTTAATATGTGCTGCATTTTAAAAAAAAATCATGTGAACATTTACCTAATTCGAAATATAAGTTAAGAATATATTATATCTAAAGTTTCATATTATTGAAGTTCAAGCATTTCAGCTTGAAGTTCATTATGCAAAATGATTACGCGTCAATCCGGTGTATATGAACTTCAAGCAAATATGTTTGACATATGAAACACCAGACGAAGACTAACTCTAACATCAAACATATGTAGCTTCGAAGTAAGTAAATTTGTAAATTTTTACGCGCTATGAATATGACTTAAATGGTGATCCTAAAATTAGGTATCCATGGAGTTGGGCCTCAAAATTTCAAGCTTACATTGGGCCATCTTTTCTAGTTGAAATTATCAACATTACAATTAGGAAGAGGTCCACCTCAAGTTCTCTGTGTCACGGCTCAAATGGATTTTGAAGGTTGCTTGTGATGATTTAGAACATGAAGTAATTGTGTGTAAATCACTCTATTTTACAAGGCCTTAACTAGCTTACGGAGATGGAGTCAAGATTAACAGTTTAGAGTTTTAATTTTTTTTTAAAAAGAGGGGGTGGGGGCGTTCGAACCACAACACTCTAGCGTGAAAAATATTTCCACCCCGTCAATTAATTTTTGTAGAAGCTCATAAGTTAATATATATATATATATATATATATATATATATATATATATATATTTCTTAATATAAATACAAGATGTACAGAAAAATTACTGTGTTCGTCTAAATCCATGAACCCCAACCTAGTTCCGCCTCTGCTAGGTTATATTTTCACATTATAATATTTCACAAATTATGTTCTACGCCTAGCACCTTCACAGAACTTATGCTTCGCTAGGTATAAATTCAATTTCAAACTTTCCATTTTAAAAGATAAAACAATTAGTATACCAACTAATTTGAATGATAAATAGTGCTATTAAATGTTACAATATTAACATGCCCTATACTAGCATTGAGTCAGCAGTATTACTAAAAACCAAAACAAAGTTTTGCACTTTCACATGTATTGCAAAAAAGTGTATAAAGCATCTTTGAAAATCATATGATTAATTCTCCACTTGGGATTCACGGATATCCAATACTAATTTGTTAGTATATACTTTTTATCTATTAGATTTATGTTACGCATTTTATTTATTCGATTTTTTTTAATATTGCTGTTTATTGAAAAAATAATTTTAGTATTTCAAGAAGAAATATAAATATTATTGTCTAATTTTCATCTATCATTTAATAGCATTGAGTGGCTATTAACTCTTATTTGAATCTAACATCTATTTCACAAATTAAATCATAATCTTTATAGTTATTAACCCCTAATTATTAGCCACTTTATTAATATTTCTCTTAAAGTCAATTATTCACTAGTCATGGAGACTTTATCGCTCTTCTATTTTGAGACGTTATTATTAGAGCATTTGGTTTGGCCTATATAAGCCTCTTTCGATTTACTCTTATGAAGTAGTGAAAAACTAAATCAACAAATCTCATCTCTTTCTTTTTATATTCTTGTGTAGATTAGTTTCTGGCTTCTAATTTTATATTAGAAGAGTTTGTTAAATTTTGGAAATACATTCATATCAGATGAAATATTCTTAAGAACAGTGTCTTTTAACACGTCTTAAGCGATGAGAAATTTCTATAAAAATTACTGATGATATACAAACTTTGATAAGTTTGATATAAATATTCATAAAGAAGATATTTTTCGTGAGATTTGCAACACCTCGCTTTACAAATTAATCTATGTGGTAAGAAGATAACTAATTTTTCATCTCAATATTATTTATGGTCATGTGACTCAGATAATATTCTTCATATGCATACTTTTCAACTTACCATGTGAAGCTACAATTTACTTGGAATTTTCTTTTTATTTTTGAATGTTTATTATTTGTATTGAGGCTCGATCAAATTTAAATTTATAGGATGGTGATGGCCTAGCATAATCACACCTCATTTGGCTTTCATTCACCGCTACAAGATATATAAGATTTAGCGATGAATAAATTTTATAGTTAAACAATAAAATTCAATTAAATTAGCGACAATATTTGCTACAAGCAAATTAATGATCGATTAGTGACCTAATTAGTAATTAAAATTCAGTTTTTTTTTTGATGCTTAAGCCACTATCTCTGTAGGTGGATCAAAAATTATTTTGAGTTTATAAATTCTAAATTCTAGATAATACAATTTATTGTATTCTGGATAAATTATAGAGAAAATAGTCTAAAATCCCCCCAACCTATACCGAAAATTTCAACTACACACTCCAACTTCACGGTTGTCTTATTATCCACCTGAACTTTTATATTGCTCTATTTTCTACACACCTAAATGTTGACCTGTCATGAGAGGTGTTGTCACCGCCTCTAGGCGCGTTAGAAGCAGAAATTTGACGAATTTTTTCTTCTTCTCCAATGGTCATCTTCCTCACCTTTAATAGCCAATTGTTTCTTCTTCCCCACCATTAATCCTCATTTTTTAATTTTTTTTTTACGATTTCTTCTCAAAATTAAGTACAGTTTAGTTGTTTATGTTCAATTTTACTTCAAATTTTAAATTTAGGGTGTGTAATCTGTTCTAATTTCTTATTTAGGTCTCTAATTAGAATTTTGAATTTTCTCAAAATTCATCAAAAATGTCAAATGAAAAATTGAATAAGATCTGTATAGATGAATCAAACCCAATGCTCAACGTTGTAGTGAGATGTAAATACGAATTTTTGCTGAATTTGCAAATTTTTTTATCGAAATTGAATTCGGGAATAAGATTATGATCTTGCCCATGCTATGGTGTATGTATTTTTTCTTGTATCTTGCTACACTTTATTTTGATTGATGCTAATGTACTATTTTAGATCAATTTCAGTCTAAAAATTTTGAAATGGAAAAAAAACAAGAAATGGGATTCTCAATGAAGTTTCAACGGGGGACTCAGCGCGTGGAATCACGCAAGACTAATTATTTGGTTTCTGTGTGGAGGTCAGCACTTAGATGCATAGCAAATAGGGCAATATAAAATTCGAATAAGAGAATTTTAGACCATTTTCTCTAAATTAAATGTACATATTAAGTAATTCTCAACATAAAATCACGAGATTCCGCCAAACTCATAACTAAAACTCTAATTCCACCCCTGACTATCTCTTCCTACAACATTTTATTTCCAAAGCTACTATAGTCCATAAATGATCATTTTTCCTCATTTGCATTAATGCATATTATTTACACATTTTTTGTCAAACTTCTTTTCGAGTAAAGTTTTGTTTGGATATGTATATACTTTATTATTTTATTTCTTTTTGAATTATTGTTAGTGGAGGTTAAATTTCTTCCTAAAACAGGGTAAAAAATATTCGAAAATCAAAATTTCTATATCTAATCAAATTTCATAATCAAACAGATATTTAACAATATTTTTTTTAAAAAAAAAACAAAAACTAGTCAAACACTAGCATAATTACCTAATATTTATAGATTTTGTTCCTATATCTCATTCTCATTCAATTTCATCCACCCCCAAAGAAAAAAAAAGATGTTGTTGGCCTATATTTTCTTGATTCTTTTGGCACATCCTTTTTGTGTCATTCCTACAAACACAACAACATCAAATGACAACAAAAGCATATTCATTTTAGCAGGACAAAGCAACATGTCTGGCAGAGGTGGTGTAGTAAACAACATTTTTGATTGGTACATTCCACCAGAATGTCAGTCTAATTCATCAATTCTAAGACTAACAAAAGGACTTTCATGGGAAGTAGCAAAAGAGCCAATTCATCAAGACATTGATTATTATGCAGTTTGTGGGATTGGTCCTGGAATGTCATTTGCTAACTTTATCCTAAAAAATGATCCAAATATTGGTCTCATTGGTTTAGTACCATGTGCTATTGGTTCCACAAATATTACCCTATGGTCTCAAGGTTCATTTTGTTATAATCAAATGGTGAATAGGGCTCGAATCGCGTTACAAGATGGTGGAACGTTACGAGCCCTTCTTTGGTATCAGGGAGAGAGTGATACTCTCAATCTTGATGATGCTGAATCGTATAAATCAAGATTGGAGAAATTCTTTACTGATGCGCGAAATGACTTAGATGTACCTTCTCTACCTATTATTCAGGTAATTTTTTTAATCGTATTTTTTTATATTATCAGTATATATAGCTATAAATTTATTTATTTTTGCTTTTGGTTTGGGGAAGTGGGGTTTGTATGACTTGCTTAAAACATATAGCCATATAGGCCAACATGTGAAGATTTAGAAATTTGTTGGAATTTTCTTTTCTAAAAGATTAAAAATAGTAAATTTTTTATTTGTGAAATGTGACTCCTCATCAAGAAAGGATATTATTAGTGTCCCACATAGATTAATAAGATCTTATTCATATATTATTAGAAGTTCATTACTTTTATGAGAATGAAGCTTTTGCCTTTTTTAGTAAATAAATCATTAAAGATATATATATATTAAAATAAAACAAACAATGTATCTCCATAATAAAGATATCTATCTTTTCACATTATATCTCAATTACTTCTTGTTGTATTTTGAATAGCATTTATGAGTAAGATATCTTTATAAAGAAATAGCGTAAAATAATTTATATTTGTTCGTGCATACAGTCAAACCTTTCATAACAACCTAGTTGGTTTTAAACAAAAAAGGAATAATTACAGAATTCCACCTTTCAATTTACTTATTGTCATTATCAAATTTCCAAAATTCCTCATTTTTCTCTTAAGTCAAAAATGTCATTAATGTATCCGATTTTCTTTTTAATGTATCAACGTATGTATCCGTCCCTCTTTTTAATGTATCAACAACGCTTTGATTTTTTGGTCATTGATGTATCTGGACCCTCCATTAACGTATCCGACCATCTTTTTAATGCATCATCGCTTATATTATTGTATCCGTTTGAGGGATTTTTGTAATTATAAACTTTTAAGGGATGGATTGTAATTTTACCTTAAATGTATGTGATTTCTATAATTTACCCTTAAAAAATGGTATAAAAGGATATCTTTATATGGAGGTTTGACTGTATAACTTTAACCATGTACAAATATTAGATCTCACCTCGTTATCACGGTGCTTATTCGTATGGGAATGGATCGCGGTGCTTATTCGTATGAGAATATTATATCTCACCTCGCTATCGCGGTGCTTATTCGTATGTTTTGGGCTTTTTTTTAATGGATCCACAGGTGGCATTGGCAACAACATTAGGGCCTTATATGAAGGAGATAAGAAAGGCCCAATTACGGATTAACCTTCCTAATGTGAAAACAGTTGATGCTAATGGGCTCAAAGTAGGCCCAGATTATGTGCATCTTAGTACACAAGCAGAGGCCCAACTTGGACAGATGATGGCCCAAGCCTTTTTGGAGTTTGGTTCATACACAATCCATAATTCTTTGGAGGTCAAAAAAAAGGAATAGAAATCATTATAACTTTTTCTTAAAATTATAATTTAATTCAGAAGATAGAGTCTGAATGTAATTTAGGCCGGTTGATATACATGTTGAAAAATTATTCTAGTTTCTGATAAATTCTAATCTTTCTATTGCAATTTATATTTAAAAAGTAGCACTCAAGAGTGTGACATAGTGTTAGCGAAGTTGCTTAGAGTCATAATGTCTTAAATTTAATTTCGAGTGGAGACAAAAATAACTAAACAAACCACTAAATGAGATCACATACACAAAATCCACATGTAGGATTTTAACATGAAAACTTATAAGCACAATAAATGGTTATAATCAATCTCAAGATGCTAATATGGATTTTACCACCTAATTATTATTTTATAAATGTTATTTATTATCATATAAGTTACTAGGCATATATTGACTCACAATAGAATCTTATCCTTTGAAAATCAAGATAACTAGCAAATTGCACATATTATAATAAATATATCAAGATTAAGAGTATATATACATTTAATAATCTAGAGAAGTGGAAAAGGAACCAATTCATCAAGCCATATTGGTCCATAACAAATATTATATTTAAACACACGACTAATAATATTTGATACATATTATATCTAGATAGACGATTACATAAATCAAGATTGGAAAAATTCTTCACTGATGCGTGAAATAACTTGGTTGCATCTTCTCTACCGATTATTCAGGTAATTGAAATATCTTGGTAATTTTTTTTGAATTTATTTACGTCGACAATGAGGTGCTTATTCGGATCTTTTCTTATGTTATGGGCTTTGTTTGTGGATCCACAAGTGGCATTGACAACAACAATTGGGCCTTATAAGAAGGAAATAAAACAGGCCCAGTTGGGAATTCACCCAATAATGTGAAAACAGTTGATGCTAATGGGCTCAAAGTAGGCCCAGATTCTGTACATTTTGGATATATGTTGGCCCATACATTTTTGGAGTTTGGTTAAGACACTATATTTTGGCTCCTATAACTATTTAGGCTTTCATTACGTGAAAAATAGGAAAAATTATGCAGATAACAAATATTTAGTTTATATTAGGTATTAAAGTAGTTTAAAAAGTATAATTCGTGTCTATAGTTTTTTCAATTTTTGCTATTTGTCTAATTTGTATAAATTTAGAATTTGTATAATTCGATTTATGATTGTATAAATTCAAAACTTTGTCTATAATTACCCTAGCTATTTGTATACGATTTATGAAAAAATCATTATAAATTATTTTATTCGTAAAGCAAAATATATAAGCGGAGTTCTGAAAAATACAAACTGATATAAATGTACAAACCGCAGTCTGTAACTAAAGCTATGAAGCACAATTATCAAAACTATAACTAATATAGAGCTTTATTATGTTTATTATGTTTGCTATTTCTAAAGCTCTCTCTTAAAAATAACATTGCAACATTTATTAACTAGCTCAATATGTGGTGTATATTTTGAAAACTAATGTATCAATCCAACACATATAGACTAGTCCTAGCGGACATAGGCAGGAAAAAGAGTCGAGTCGAATAAATTTTATAGTTAGGAAAAACGAGAAATCAAAATTTGACCCCAAAAAATCTAAGTACCTTTCTATGGAGATAAGTATTTCATTTTCCGCTAAACGAAACATGAAAAACACCTATATTGTAATACGTAAGAGGGTTGCTTAGAAAGAAGGTCGTCTCGGATGGTACCTTCGCCATGCATGAAATTTTCATCCCTCTATCCATGTCATACATTGAGATTCTGTAACAACCAATTCAAGTAGGTCCAATTAAATTTAATCAAATTTTATAATCAAATAGATATTGAAAGATAAATTTAAAAAAATTACACCTCAAATATATGGCCAAACACTAGCTAAATATATTTTGTGTACAGAAAGTTGCTCTCGATAAACAAGTAGGTCCAACATAATCTAATCAAATTTCATAACCAAATAGATTTTTGAAGATAAATTTCAAAAACTATTCCTCAAATATATAGCCAAACGCTAGCTAAATATATTTTGTGTACAAAAATTTGCTCTCGACAAACAAGTAGGTCCAATATAATCAGATCAAATTTCATAACCAAATAGATATTTAAAGATAAATTTCAAAAACTACTCCTCAAATATATGACCATACGCTAGCTAAATTTATTTTGCGTACAATAATTGCTCTCGACAAACAAGTAGGTCCAATATAATCTGATCAAATTTCATAACCAAATTGATCTTTGAAGATAAAATTTCAAAAACTACTCCTCGATCAAATATATATATAGCCAAGCGCTACTAAATATATTTTGTGTAAAAAACTTGCCCTCGATATATATAGCCACGCGCTAGTTAAATATATTTTGTGTAAAAAACTTGCTCTCGATAAATTAAAGCAAAAAGGTGAAGGGGGCATTCCGAGAATCGAACTCGGGACCTCTCGCACCCAAAGCGAGAATCATACCACTAGACCAAATGCCCTCTTACATTTCACATTTCCATTTTACATAAAATTTATATATAAACATTAAAATTTCACAAATATTAATTAACTAGATGTCATTGCATATGAATGTATTTAAGGACATGCAGATTCATTATGATGTTCAAACAATAGGATTGTTAATGTTAAATTTCTTGTTAAGCATGATTAAGGTGACAAATGGGATTATAAAAGTGACAAGTATTATTAGTCTTTGTGTCCACCAATGTCATCTAGAAAGCAAAAAATACATTGAGCTTGAGAGCTTAAGTTATTGTACTTAATGTGTGTGACTCTGTAACTGTTGAAAAGGATCACAATTTTTAGGGAACAATTGCACTTTTGGACTTATTTTAACATTTACGAATTGACTATTAGGAATTACGTGATTACTGTATTTTTTAATTTGTATTAGCCCATAAATCTGATGCCTCGAAGTATCTAAATATTTTTTTTTTGAGAAACTCCGTAATGAGTGAGAAACATTATTTATTGTTCCATTATTTTTTTCAGGTATATTTTTGCATTTATGAATTAACTTTTAGGAAACACGTGACTTCCTTGTTTTTTCATGAGTATTAGTCCATGGATCTGGCACCTTATCATTGCACAAAAAATATTTTTCTGAGAAAACTTTATAAGGTCCTCTGCAATGAATTAGAGAAGCGTTATGTATAATCCAACAATTTTTCAAGCATATTTTCGCATTTACGAGCCCACTTTTAGAATCACCCGACTTTTTTTATTTTTCATGTGTATAAGCCAATGGATATGAGACTTCAGTGCAAAAATATCTCTAGTAAAACTTTATGAGGACTACTGTAATGAGTTAGAAAAACATTACGTATAGTCCCATAACTATTCTCACACATATTTTTACATTTATGAGCCCACTTTAGCAATTACGTGACTTTTTTGGTTTTTCGGTATTAGACTTTGAAGGAAAGAGACAAAAAGTTGAGGCAAAACTAGCTCTCCGACGAGCTAGAACAGGGGTGGAGGCTAGCAATCGATTTCATGACTAATTGGTACATTCGAATAATAAAAAGATGTTTTCTTTCTAATCCGATCCATGGATGATGATAGAAAGTCTTTTTCTAATTGTAGCTAAATCTTCAAGTTTTTATTTGTAAAGAAAAAGGTGAAAAAAAAAGATTCAAAAAAATTATGACTACCTTAGTAATGAGTTGGGGAAGCATTACGTAAAGTCCCCCCTTTTTTCAAGAATATTTTCACATTTATGGGACAACTTTCAGGAATTACGCGGTTTTCTTGGTTTTTTTGGGGTATATAAGCCCATGGATCTGGCGCCTCTAAGCACCAAAAATTCTTTTCTAGAAAAACTTTATGAGGACCTCCGTAATGAGTTGGGGAAACATTTCGTACCGTCCTACCATTTTTTCAATCATGTTTTCACATTTATACTAGTGATGGATCTGGCGCCTCAGAGTACCCCAAAAATATTTCGAAAGAACTTTATGAGAACATTTATAATGAGTTGGGGAAACAACGTACAATCAACCATTTTTTCAGAGATATTATAGCATTTATGAGCCAACATTTAGAAATTACGCGACTTTCTTGATTTTTCTTATTAATTAGCCTATGGATCTGGCGCCTCAGAGCACCGAAATATATATTCTGAAAATACTTTATGAGGACCCCTGTAATGAGTCGAGGAAGCATTACGTACGATCTCGTCATTTTTTGAGGCCTACTTTCGCATTTATGAGCCAAATTTTAGGTATAACACAACTTTCTTGTATTTCGTGTGTATTAGATCATGAAATTGGTGTCTCAGAGCACCCAAAAGAAAAATTTCCAAAAAAATTTATGAGGACCTCCGTAATGAGTTGGAAAAGCATTATATACAATCCCACAATTTTTCACGCATATTTTCACATTTAAGTGCCAACTGTTAGAAACTACGCGTCTTTTTTGATATTTCTTGTGTATTAGCCAGTAGATATTGCGCCTTGAATCACCAAAAAGAAAAACAAAGCTCGAGCAATGAATATTATTATTTCTAAATGCTGTCTCAAGTTAATGCTATACAGTAATAATTTAGTAGATATCTAAAAATTTATATGTGATCGGGCAAAAATTATTAATAATCGTGATGCTCGAGATATTATTCGTGCACCTCAACTAATTTCATATTCGAGCTAATGATATATATAAAGGTTTCCATTAAACCCCTGTCAAGGGCAAGAACCCTTTGTATCTGTCCTGTTTTATTTCGTATTGCTCATGTATGCACAGTGGCATTTGCGGCATTCAGATATCGAATTCATCTGAACTCAGTACCTTTTAACTCGCAGCATAAGTTCATGAGTTGAAGTTTCTCTAAAACTTCAAACAAATAACATGTTTGCATCCGTGGTTCTAAAAGTATAACGAGTTAATAAATACTAGTAACAGTACATTCGAATTCATCTGAACTCAGTACTTTTAACTCGAAGCATAAGTTTATGTATGCAATGTCACTAAATTGCAACAAGTAAGAGGTTTGAATCTGTAATTTTAAAAGTACAACTAATTAAATACCAGAAACATGACACAAGTTTAGATCAATTCATAATGATTTAGTCGGAGTCTAATATGGGTAACCGGACACTGGTTCCTCAACTTCTACGAGCGAATATCGAACACAAAAACCTTGTTTGAAAAACAGGCTGCAACCTTGTTGCCTTCCTTGTTCCAACAGACATTGAAAATTCCGCCATCAGTGTGGTAAGTCTTAACAATCTTGGCCTCCTTCACTGACCATATATTCATGCGTTTATCCAGTGACCCACTCGCCAAGTAGTCACCGTTTGGACTGAATGCAACGGAGTAGACGACTTCCCTGGATTTAAAATGAAATAAAAAACAAAAACATTCATCAATAACGATAGTGTTAACTAATTCTCACATTCCCACCGAAATAAAAGGAATTTTATTAAGAGTGCCTTAATATCTCGTGCGTTCAACTAGACATAATGAGTTAACATCCATTACCTGTGACCGTTCAAGCTGTGAAGCAGACGCCCTCGTTCAATATCCCACAGCTTAACGGTAGAGTCAAACGAAGCACTGCAAAGACAGACAAGTAAACAAAACCACTAAGATCAAATAAATAAAAGGTATAGCGCAATATATTAAATCAGCACACGGTTAAAGTGAAACTATATCTCCCTAGATTATTTTTTTACTTCCAAGGGGATTATGGGCCAGACAGCAACTGTGGCTTTAAGCGCGCCTTTGACAACAGTGTACTAAAAAGAGCTTCAGAGGTAAGTCAGCTCCGACAAAAGGCATGAATATATCTTATATAAGCAAACAGAAGGTTTACGTGCACAGCGAAGACCTTAAGGGTTCTGTTTATGGATAGTTTTTTGAGGCTCGCGGTAGAAGTAAGCGAGATTTAGAATTCTATGCTGGTTCGACACCAGAATCAAGCAAAAGACTTATTGGGGTTCATACATCTGTTACTAACTAGCAGTCTAGAAGCCTAAAGTTTGAAAGGACTAAACAAAAATAGTGTCGTATAAAATGGAATGGTGGGAGTACTGTGTCTAGAAAATATAGAATCTTTATCGCTAAGCTATGAACTTTATGTTACCACAACATCTGAATTGATTAAAATAGATCGAATACCTTGCTAGCAACAACTTCTTATTCGGATTGCTTGTACCAGCGCCAGTTGGACTCCATCTAACGGTATTTATCTCCTAAAAGACAAAAACGTAACAGTCAGCAGCTGATATCTGATTTGATTAAAGAATCAACAAATAAAAAAAAGGAACAAAAATCGATACTTTGCTGTGTTCTCGGAAATTATGCAAGCAGACATCCCTTTTCATGCTCCATATCTGCAAAGAAACAATAAATAGTTTTATACAACACAATAAGCAGAATTTCTTAGAAACAATATATTCGAAGTCCTGGCACACGAAAAGGTGAAGCTAAAATTCAACTTTCTCTAATCTGGACTTGTGTAATCCAGACAATGAAGATTTCTTTTTCTGTTAACCAAGAAATCCCCGAGGGTCAGGAGCACACCACAACACCTCTCTAACTTAAATGGAATTACCTTAACTGTGGTATCTTCGGAGCATGAAGCCAGCAAGGAACCTGAGGGATCCCACTTGATAGCATTGATCGCATTCTGCAATAGAATTAATGTTCTTGATAAGCTTCAACCCTCCGATAGCAAAGCAATAAAATGGGACCATACCTTATGGCCTGAGAATCTTTTGACTGGTTGATTCACCCCAACTTTACAAATATAAACCTTGTTATCAGTGGAGCCGATCGCAAAAGAATTGTTGTCAAGCCAATCAGCATCAAGAAAACCTAAATGGAGTTGTATAACAACAGTGAGAGAATATGCGAAACAAAATAAAATGATCAATCCATGCGAAGATACGAGGTGAAATATAAAGGAAAATTATTTCTTGAAGACAGAACAAGGGCAAAAAAACACCTGCATTAAAACAAAATTGCTGCTTCAATTCTCCAGACTTCACATTCCAAACAACGGCAGTTCTATCGGTACTACCGCTAAGGAGATAATCACCTTTCTTGTTCCATTTCACAGAGAAGATTGTCCCTTCATGTTTGTTAAGAGTTTGAAACAATGACCCTGGATGAAAAGTCAGTTATACGTATCAGTTAGAAAGGCGATCCTGTTTGATGACAACACGAGTATTCCATCATGCCCCTTACCTGATCGGGTCCAGATTCTGGCTTGGCCATCGTAAGAACCTGTCGCAAGCAGGGTACCCTTCCTCTGTACAAAGAAAAATTCATAAATACAAGATTGAATAATAACAAGAAAATCAAATTGTAAGCGCAAGCAATACAGTCTAATTTCAGAAATGCCACCAGAAAAGTATAGATCAACGAAAGTCGGCCCAAAACAAGTAGTGGAAAACTCACATTCCAATCAAGTGTTGTAACATCGTTGTTTTCCTCAGTTGCTCGACTGTCCAAATGCTTCAAAACCATAACATTTGGAGGCATCCTCTGCATAGTAGGATTGCCTGAACCATCGCCAATAGTCCAAATTCTAGCAGTAGAGTCTCCAGACCTAAATTGATATTACACATGGTTAGCTATAATAGAATTATTTAACCATATGCTAATATCATGCTATCACCGACCCATTAGATATTCAAATTCCCTGTGCTTACGATGATTATTTCTAAAAGTTGTAAAATCACGAGAGAATTAGAAACAGAAGTATGAGTATGAACATGAGCCGATTCATAGACGAGAGCAACAAAAGAAAAAAACGGAACTAATACTTACCCAGATGCGAGAAGTGACCCTTCCGGACTCCAAGCACAGACAAAAACCTGGCATGAGTTTAGGAACAAGAGAAATTTGTAACGTTAATATAGAAAACAGAAAAGATATGAAATTTATCATTTTGGCTGTTAAAAATTGAAGTGGACTAGAAGAACTTTATCGGGATATGGTCAAACCTCAGAAGTATGCCCTTCCAAAGCCCTTACATCACAGCTAGAAATTTCACACGGCAAAGAGGTCGAGTCTGTGCAGATATCCATAGGCTCCAAATCTATCATGCAACAAAAGCAAAACTTAGTGTCCACAAGACCAACACAGAAAAATGTAGAAGTATCAGCTTCATGCTCACAATGCTCATACAAGTAACAAATTAGCTGCAATGGGGAATGTATTACCTCCGTCATTTCCATTTTTCTCCTTCTCGCTGTCTCTTGCAGGTTCTCGTTCATGGTCGAGCTCATTGTCAGCATTTGCCTTATCTTTCCTAACCTTTTCCTTTTCCTCTTTAATCATTTGTTGCAACTCAGATACACTTTTTGTTATGAGATCAAAAGGTTCCACAAACCTGAAGTCTTCATCCATATCGGTATCATCCTGCATTCCGTAGTTATTATTGGTTAGTTAAGAGTTATAAGATGATCAGATAGAAAAAAAAAGAATATTCAAATATTTGACTTACAATGCTCAAGTTGGTTTCCAACTCAAGATATTGAAGACCCTTCTGCACAATTTTAATCAGTGCATTGATGGGAATCAGACGACCATCTATTGAGCTCCTATTGAGCCCTGCCTCGTATCCAAAAGAAAATGCTGCATGAATGAATCCTGAAAAAATATATCAGAAAACCAGTAGACTGATTAGATATTACCGTACTAGTCCATCACGATCAAAGTTAAGGTGTCAGCCAACCTATTAGCTAATCATATTCAAAGAAGCAACAACTGATATTATAAAGGACCGACCATAAACTAGAGTGTCTTGAACACCTTGGAAGATCACTAGAAGTAACTTAAATTTTGGTTGTACAATCAACTAAGAGAAGTTGAGTTCGTCTCAATCTTGTTATTATCTTTTTTCTATTTCTTGCTCGAATAATCAGGAGCGACTGTTCCAATGCCCCATACAGCATGCAAAAACTAAACCAACAATTGAAATGAGCACGAAAAGATTTCTGTTTGTCATCCAGAAGAAAGAAAAGCAATATGCAGTTCGACCCCAAAAACATCAGTGTCAATCTGCCCATTCTAGATTTAAAGTATTTTAGACCAGAATACTTTCTTCCACTATCACTACTTTAATCGTATATGTCAAATTAGCGACTTAACATCTGTCCGTAGTCAAACACCATCCTACTCACCCCAGAACCTAATAATCCTTGTTTAAATAACCAAACTAGCCAATTTCTCTGTTACTAGTCATTTTTTATAATCATTGAAATATAGGAAAGCCTTATCTTTCTTGTCAAAGCAGTAAAGACGGGACATTTTCTGCTAACGCAAATTGCCCATTCAGTCCTAGCCACTACCAGATGAAGTCAATTTTGTTCTCGACAATGTTCGCACTAGAATACAACAACAACAGCATACCTGATGTAATCCCACAAGAGGGATAAGGGGAGGGTAGGATGTTTGCAGATCGAACTCCTACCTTTGAGGTAGAGAGCTATTTCCGATAGACCCTTGGCTCGAAAAAACGCTTATCACTAGAATGGTTACAGAAAAATGCTTATATCGCAGAATTTAACTCGTCTACCAACAACATCCCAAGGGGTCTGTGTAGGGTGGTGTGTACACAAATCTTAATCCTATCTGTGCAGGTAAAGGGCGATGTTTCCAAATGTACCAAAGCAATTCGTCTAAATGTGATTAAAAAAAATAATTTACCATAAAAAAAACTTAAAAGGACTATAAAGAATCAAACTATCATTTGAATCCTACAAGATTGTACATGTTCTGAAAAGGAAAATTGAATTACCTGATTCCTGGAGGTACCGGAAGACGATGAAATTCAACAGGTCGGAGGTTAAAGAGGCCATTGTTTGTGAATCGGCTGCGACGACGGTGGCGGAGTTAAATAAACAGAGATATAGGCTAGGCTACTACTACCTATGATATATAGAGGGAAAAAATGAAATGTGGAATTTTGGGAGACACAACATTTATATATGAGACATTAAAATTAGAAATGTTTCGTTCCGAAAGGCATTTCGAATTAATGTTGACTGTTGAATGACTAATGTACCCTCCACGCTCCAGCAAAAGAAATATTATTGTTTTTAACAAAATCAGTTGGTTAAAACAAATACTATGCTGGCAAGAGTTGAATAGATAAACATATTTAATCATATCCAAAAATGGAGAGACGGATTCAGAATTTTAATGAGATGTTTAATTGGTAATATACAACAGTACATTCAATTTACGGAAATCAAAATCTATTATCTAATTTAGATGAACCCCTCATACACTAAATGATGACAAGTTATTGGCATCCCTAACACCTAACGTTGAGGTAGAGATGTTGTTTACGATAGATCCTTAGCTTAGAAAACGCTTATGCACTAGAACTTTTTTCGTAACTGTTAAAATATATGTGAGCCACTTTTATAACGAGGTTATATATCAGCTCTAAAATGCAAAATAAAGGTATAACATACCCTTTTCCCTTTTATAAATTCTATAAGTTCGACTATAAGAGAAAATTTCTAGTGATTATCGTAGCTCTGAGCTCAGCAGCCATGGGAGCCTTGCTTAGCTTCGAGAAACAGAGCTGGGTAACGCCAAAACAGCATAATTTTTTTTGGAAGAGTTCGTCAAACAACCATTAGACCATCCAAGGCTCCATGATAGAACTTGTGACCCAACAACGGCCATCGGTGCTGTTATCACACTCTAGTCTAACGGCCACGATTCATCCACTAGTCTTAATTTCCTGTCTCCTTAGAGGTTGTTACACGAAAAATGTTTACTTTGCATAATTTAACTCGTCTAACAACAACAACAACAACAACATATCCAGTGTGAACACAAGCTTTACCTCTAATAGAAGAGCTATTCCCAAACACACTCTCGCCGAGGCGGAACCAGAATTTTTGATAAAAGGGTTCAAAATCTGAAAGAAATACACACACGAAGTAGCTGAAGGAGGTTCAACATCTGCTACGTATACCTAAAAAATTATTTTTAATCATATAAAAATAATATAATTTTCCATCGAAGGGGGTTCAGATGAACCCCTAAAGCTATGGTGGCTCCGCCACTGGCTCTCGCCTCTAGTAAATCATATCAAATCAATTAAAAAGTACTTATCTAACTAGTGATTCAAATTTCAAAACAAAATCGAACAAGCTCAGAAAGAGAAAATTGAAGACCTGATTCATCGAAGTATGTCTAGTGGCATAGCCACATGGTGGTAAGGGTGTACAATTCGTCTAAAAAATAACAATATTTATAAATAATATGATACACGAAATGATTAAATAACATATTTTGAACAACCTTACTATAAAAACTTGTAACTTCTGTATACCCTTTGTGAAATTTCTGGCTCGGCCACTTGAAGTAACGGTAAACATTGTAATTCGGTTTGAGGTAATCCATACCATTGTTTGTGAATCGCCAGCAGAGTAAAGTAAACAGACATAGAAAGAGGGGGAAATGGAAAGAGGGAAATTTGAGAGAGATGGTATTTATATATGAGGCGTTAGAATTGGATTTGTTTTAGTTTCATGACTAAAACTACCCAAACACATGGTTATAAATAAAATAAAATATATGATTGCTTTAAATTTATTTAAGGGAAAATTACGCGGATAAACAAACATATACTAGTTAATTAAATAACATAGCTATAGTTTGTATTAATTATCATTCACGACTAACCTTTAACTATATTTACATCTCCTCTCTCTGGAATCTCGCTCGCCTCGCTCCTCTCTCCTCTTTTTCAGTCATTTCTCCTTAGCCACTTTCCTCTCCTTGCGTAATCTCTCTCTCGCTTCTTTCTGTCCAGTTTCTCTCGTTTATACAAATACAAATATTGGCAATTATTTATACACACACAAATCATAACAATCAATTGTACAAATACATGTCCAGTCTCTCTCGCTTCTTTCTGTCTAGTCTCTCTCGCTTGTACAAACACAAATTATATAATTACATATGTCAATAGCCGTTTATATACCAAACACAAATGATAACATTAATTATACAAATACGAATTACAGATGTTAACTAGGGGTGTCAAATAGGCGGGTCGGGTTGAAATTTGAGATATTATAATGGGTTGAAATAGAAACTAGGTTGGGTTCTAACCCGCTGAAGCTTACTTTTGGGTCTAATGGGCTTTATTCTAATGTCTATTTACGAAATTTCTCCTAGGGGTGTCAAAATGAGTTCAAATATACGTAACCCGCCTAATCTATTCAGAATTTATGGGTTGGGCTCAAGATAGTTTGAATTGAGTTCAATCTCAACTCATTCAAGTCTTAAACTATTTTTTTTTTAAAAAATTCAATTGAGTCCAATTTAATTTCAAATTGCAACCTGTTTAAAAACTCTTTATTTATTTGTTTATTTATTTTCTTGAGTTGTTATAAATGTTAACTAATAACATGTCAAAATTATTGAAATTAACAGACCAAATTGGATGGATCATAACCCAACCCAATTTTTATCCCATTTGAACCCAAAGTAAACTTGGCGGGCATAACCCAACCCGATATTTAACCTATTTGAGTCCAAGTAAATTTAGGCGGATCATGAGCCAACTTGATCATTTTTTCAACCCACTAAGCAAACTATAGCTATAGAAGGCCTAATATTTGCTATTCATGAAAGTATCCCTTTAAATATCTCCAATGTCAATTCAACCTCGATCACTTGACACCCTATTTAATCCTATCTAAAAATGAACAGAAAGAATCAGAATTTGATTTGAGAGTCTATCACGACATATTTTATTTATTGGATTCAAAATTTATCATTAATACTAATATCTTTGTGAATATATCAAATGAAACTATTTAGTTCAGATGAATAGATACATTAAACGTGAAAAATGGTCTGTATATGTGATATCTACATAAAAAAAATCATAATAGTTAACTATAGTTAAGTTATATATAAATTTGATAATGTGAATTGATTAACTATTATTGATGAAAATTTTTGTAAATGAAGACATGTGTGACGTGTTCATTAGGAGTTACAATCGAGTCATTCATCTTTTTTCGATCTTTATAAACAAATCGATCAAGCATGCATGTTAGTGATATTTTCTTTTAAATATTATGAGATTAGAGCTAAGTAACAATTCTATTTTTATTTCTTTTTAGTAATTAGTGACCTTATTCGCTGAAACTTTGAGGAAAAAGGAGTTTTTTCACACTAAAATTTGAGCTTGTATAAACTCAATATATTCATATTCCATTGACTTGATGTGTTGTTGCAAAATATAACAAAAGAGAATACAAATTTTAGTTTCAATCTAGTCATCTTACTTAGCAAGAATATTGGTGAAGATCGAATTCAAATTAAAAAAATTCTAATAATAATATTGATCATCTTTAAAATTTATGTTTTTTAAATTACTATTTAAATATATTCGTAATAATATTTATGTCACGTTCATAATTTAATTGATAAAGTATAAACACACAACTCTAATATCAAGAAATAAATAATTAGTGAAAGAGAAAGTAAAATCTTAAAAATTAATTATGGTGAATAGGAGTCAGTACAAATCAACAAAGTATACTTGTAAATTAATAAAAATGAATGAAAGGGGAAAAAAAACTCACGCATTAATTAAAAAAAAGAGGAAAAAAGAAAAAGCTTCCAAAGTTCGAACCAATGGAGCTGCCTGTGTGACAGATTACCTATTTTGTCAATTAAACTACTAACAATTTTATTTAGTGGATGACAAAGAAAATAATATTCATTTTCTTAAACATAGTATACATATATACAAAGTTTTTTCTGAGTTTAGTGAGTGTCATGACACCCCCACAGGCATCCATAAATCCGCCCCTGCCTGTAGTGATTTGGAAATCAGTTGACCATTAACTAATCAGTTCTTTGTTCCATGTTCCTCTACTAGTTTCTGCAATAACTTGTCATCTTGAAGATTCCAATATCAAGGCTTATTCTTTTCCTTTTTCTTCAATTTCCACTCAGTAAAATTAGTAAAATATATGAGATAGAAGGAATGAACAATACATGGGATATAAAGTACAAAGTATATATGTCCAGTGGGTGGAAGGAGGAGGTAGGCCTAGCATTTACTTGGTAAAGACTTGTGAGGAGAGTGGAGTATATATAGTGGGGGTGGGGGTACATCGGATAGGGGCGACCGAATTAATAGGTTTAAAAAAGAATGATCAACTTTTCTTTTTAGTCTATTTAAAAAAGAATGATCTCATCTTTTTTTTAGTAACGTTTTAATTTCAGCTTATCATGTTGCATATTTAAGGCCACAAGATTAAAGAAAATTTTGAGTTTTTTCTTTTGGCTAAAATCATCCCTCAACCGCGACTTAAATCTAATGTATATCCTTAAATTATCTAAGTGAGCAAAAAACGTCCTTATACTATCAAAAAAATAACAGAATCATCCTTTAGCCTATTTTTATTAAGAAACTGATTAAATCAATAATTTTTTTTTATAATTTGGTCACGTCTTGGCCACGACAAACAGATCAAAATTACCTAAAAATAATAAGGATATGGATAGGATATGAATCTTGAATTTAAATTTCGTATGTTGTTAGTTTGTATAGTATGTTTTTTTTACATCATCAAGTAAATTGACTTGCACCAATACGTAAGTTTTGAAATATTCATACAGTACGTTCCAAAGGTTAAAAAGATTATGTAAAAGAATCATTTCAAATATATTACATCCAACTATTTAGAGATTATCTTTATAAATATTGAGGGGTATATACTATACATACAATGATCACATTTTATACAATGTACAGAAATGCTGGAAATTTAGTGAAATCACGTAGGTGTTTAGTTATTAAAATAAAAAAATAACTACTTTATTTGAAATTTTTGAAGTTGGAGTAATACTTGTTTTTTTCCAAAGAATATTTAGAATTTGAATATATTTTATCTGAATATAATTTAAATTCTCAATTTCAAAAAAATTAAAAAAAATCACCTAACTTGATTAGC